TTAAGATCGATACATTTTTGCATACGCTCGAATCAATTTTCAAAGCATTTTTTCCACTCTGAGGCTGTAATCTCAGAAATCAGTATACGAAATGTTTCAACAGCTGCTTCAGGCGACTCAAATCACCACGCATCTTCTTTTTAATGTTTGGGAACAAAAAGAAGTCATTAAGTGATAAATCAGGTAAATACGGACAATGAGTCATCAATTCGACATTTTTCTGAAAAAATCAACGGTTTGACGTGCTGTGTGACTGGCGTTGTCATGATGAAGGATGATGCGACGATTTCGGTTTGTTCTACGCAATTCATTTATGACTTCTGGCAAACAAATTGTTGTATATCAATCAGTATTTACAGTCCTTCGATCCTCTAAAGCCACGGTTGCCACATATCCGATATAACTGAAGAAACAAGCAATCATTTGCTTGGCAACACTGCATGAACGAACAGCTTTTGTTGGTTTCGATTCATTTTGAAATACCCAAACAATGGATTGTTGTTTATTTTCAATCAGGATAGTGGTTTTTTATCTCAACACATAAATAAAAGCACATGTAGCGAGATAAAAAGTTAATATTTTACAATGAAAGCACAGTATAAATTAAATTAAGCATTGGTATAAATTAATTAATTATTTGGGTATGTAATGTATGAAGAAGTTATTGTTAAATTATTAAAACAGGTTTTAATTAAAAATATTTTTTGCATTAATGCACTAAGATCCGGTTGCATCAACATTACTTTGGTTTTAAACGAAACTTAAAATTCTCTCTATCTCGTTTTAAAACCGAAAAGAGACAGAAACAAAGAGAGTTTTAAGCCTCGCTTAAAATTAAACTAACGTTGGTGCAACCGGAGATAAAGAGTTTATTTAATCTTAAAATTTTATTACTTTATATAATATTTATTTATATTTTTATATCAAAATTAAGGAAAAAAACCACAGGAGAAAGAGAGAATAATTCTATTATTATTTTAATATTAATATTTATTTTAAGAATTTATTCGACTATTAGTCCAGCCAGTACATTAGTAGAGTATTTATAAAATATTTTATAAATATTCTGTGCTGTCTGACAGAGTAAAGTTAATTAATTTTTACATTTTCAATTCGTTATGTTACAAAATTAGTCATTGAAGAAAACACTTTTTATATTGCGCTTTCATTTATAAATTTCTAAAAAAGTGTTAGCGTATAATGGTCTCTCTTTAATTTTACTAATATAACTGTGTAAAATACAATAAATTATTATTACTATTATACATATACTGATTATGTAACATGTAGATTTGTAATTTCTTAAATGACTACTTATACATATGTATAAATAACTGGATGTTTAATCTGTCTAGTAGAAACTTTAATTCGACTAAAAAATTAATAATTCAATAGTCATATTAATTATACAAATTCTTTTACGATATTTTATTAATTTGTATATATACAAAGTTAAGTTTTTTGTAAAAACAAATAAAGAATATTTAAAATATCAATATTTTAATATATTTTAATATGTTAAAATATTTTAATTTTTAAAATATTTTAATTCAGAGGAGATCATCATGGCTATGAAAAAGTAATTTATTTATTGTAAAAGTATCTGAAACGTCCATTTTATTCTTTTAAAATAAACATTTAATACTCTATAATTATAATTTCCTTTAAAGCATGATTAAGTACGTTATCGTACTTAATTGTTTGAAAATATTAATATTAGATCATATTGCTATTAATTTATTACAAGAAACATTAATTGTTCGTAGAATACTTTTTTGTATATATGTATTTACAATGTATGCGTAGTATAACATTTACATATACGCAAAGATGTGCATATACAAAAATTCACAATTTGCAGTGGCGCCTGTTAGCCTTATTCCTTATTGCTTTCTGTTACAAAAGGCCAGAAAGGATTTTCAAATCAAATCTTGAGTAGATACACGGTGTGACACAGTGTATCATTACATTCTTGTAAAAGACAAGGACAAAATAACATGATCACTGTCTTGCACTGTGTCACTTGTAGGAAAAAAAAAGACTCTTTATTGCAATACAAAAAGTATAAAAATCAGGGCTAGAATTATTATATTGAAAAAAAAACGAGCATTCCATCTGATGAATTTATTTTCATTAAGAGAATATGAATTTATTTTCATAAAATTCATACTCCCCCCCTCTCTTCCCTCCCCCTCCCTCCCTCTCTATCTATCCCTCCCTCCCTTACTTACTTTACTATTAAAACACTAAGAGCATTAAATTTGGAATTACTATGACATGAAACATTTTTACTGTTTGGTCTATTGAATATAATCTTTTCATAAAATCTGTTATTAAATTGAATTTTCTTATAAATTTATTTTTTATATGTATATATAGATGTACTTCAGGACATTCAATTTTGGCTAAGGTACATATATCAATTTGACTTTATACAAGTATAACATAATTATAAAAACTTTAACTTATGATTCCATTTTTTTTTTGCATTTGAACAAAATAGTTTTAGTTTGAATTTTTTACTACTCACTGACACAATGAAGATTTAATTTATTTATATTTATTTATATTGTGTCCGACCTCTTATATGATTTCAGTAATTTTATTTATATTCTAACTATAACTTGACTATATTTTGTTTTTGTTTGGCTACATTTTAGTGTTGATTTAAAACTTTTAAAGTGCACGTATAAATTCAATAATTGTATAAAAATATGTTCGCCCTAATATGTTTATTAATAACTTCATTTTAGAAAAAATATATGAAAAAAAAAGGAAAAAAGAACGTAGGATCTCCAATTTATTGATCTCACACCTTACGCGCACGACCATGCAGAGTTCTTATATATTGCGTTTATGAACGTGATATATAACGCGCATGGAAAATTGTAAATAATTAATATCTTGTAAATTATCGCGTTTTGAAATCAATTTTGCTATTATACATTAATGGAAAAGGTATGTGATTACTAAAATTTATTAAAACTTATATGTTATCTCGAATGTCCTTATACTGATGTACACCGAGCAGCCGAGATTGCTGAGAAAGCATTTTCGGTTTTCAGTCGCGACTAGAGTGAGAACGTCGGGCTCTCGCTCTCTTTCGCTGTCTCGTTCGCTCTCGACTCATATTAATGGAATCATATTAATGTTCGTACGTATATGAATACATAACCACATAAAAAGATGGAGATTATATTATCTGAAATTGGCAGCCCTGAATTCAGAGCTTCAAGATCGTACCACGTGAGGTCTGCAAAGTCAAATCAGATTTGGCCCGTCATTTTTATCGACGAGTTAATATCTTTAATAAGATCTTTGATAAGATAATGTATAGGCTTACCTGTTTATAATAGAAATGGAGTTAAGCATAATATTTATGGCATCGTCTCTCACATCGTCTCACATCTTTTCTTGACATTACCGATAACATAATTTTCCTGCCAGGGAAACACAGATTCAGTGCAGTAATACTGCGCAGAATCGTAGACGCCGTTTTAATTCAAAACCAAAGATTATCCTATATAAGACTCTTATATAGGGACTCTAACAACAGCGTTCTCACAATTTTTGATCATACCAATTTCCGCGTTTTCCTCGAAACTAGTTTTTCGAAACTGGTAGGAAAGATAACTCAAAAACTTCAATCGATCGAGTTGTCCCTATGTATACATATTGTTTAATGTCATAATTTGTCGATGGATCTATAAATTTAGTAAAATAATTAATTAAAACTATTGTTATTACATAAATAAATTGAAATTTTTAGGTCAAAATCTTATTTATGTCTTTAAATTTTGTTAATTTTCAACTTTTAATTTATTTTTTAGGTTCATCGACAAGATACTATCATACAAAAGAAACTATTTTGTTTTTTTGTTTCGTACAAATACAAAAGGCGTTAGATTTCCTACTGATTCACGCGACGAGGTTGCGTCAACATTTATTTATAAAAATTACAAAATGAACTACATTGAAATAAAAAAAAATTTTTTTAGTCGTAATATATAATAAAATATCAATAATTTTTAAAATGATCCATTGCTTTAAAAAAAAAGTTCCTAAAAATGATTTTTTTTTTAGCGGTTTACATGAAGCGATCCCCTTAATTACTAAAAATTGATTAATATTAATTTTTAATATTTTTTTTACTCAAATACTATCAACTTTATAGAAATATATATCTATAAATATAAAAGAAAATGCATCATCTTTACTAAAAAATTAATAAAAAATTCTGAAAAAATTCTTGGAATTCAATGTGAAGAAAATAAATAATTTTTATTTCTTGCTGGTTTTCTGTAAAGTTAATAGAATTTGAGTAAAAAATTATTGAAGACCAATATTCGACAATTTTTAATAATTAATATCTTGTTAACTATTGTGAAAATTGTAGAGGACTTTTCGACTCAGTTTAGTCCGCTCTAGAGTTCCTAAAAAAATAGAATCTGACTATCGGCCTATGTTTTCTATTGGCTCATGTTAACTTACCCTCACTATGTCAGCACGAATCACAATGTAAGGAAATGACAAGCTTATTGAAAAACTTGTAGACATGAAATAACGTAAAACATTTTTTATTGATGTATTTCATATTATAAGCATAAAGAAATATTATAATTGTAAAGAAATAATGTAATTATAAAGAAATATATATACAATTTGTTTAATAAAAATATAAAATTTCAAATAAAACATTGTTTCAAACAACGAAACAATGGCCAGTATCAAATATATTCCACGCATACCTTCATAATGAAAATGCGCCGGTGGGAGAGTAATAAAAACGAAATGTGAAATCGAAACAAAAAGCCCGGCAGACGTAAAAATTAAGGATGACGCAATATTCAAGCCAAAACAAGCAAACACGTCCGTCCTGGTTTATAGCAGCAGCACAGACTCTTGCATAACGCATAATGCATAGTGCATAAAGGAATCAATTGAAATTCTTCTTTTTCATGGAATTGGAGAAGAAAGGAAAGATTCTGATTAGTTGATTCGATTATGCACTATGCGTGCGTGCGTGCGTGCGTGCGTGCGTGCGTGCGTGTGCGCGCGCGCGCGAAAGGTGTGATAACTTAGATTGTTGATTTAAAGTACAAGGTAAAAATTCGTATTTATTATATTTTAGATAATTATAAGATCTTATTTATTTGACTAAATATCATTATTGGAAAAATTAATATCAATTTCTTCAAGATCTTGATAACAACCGTTCTTTTTTTTTATAAGATCTCCCCAGAGGACATTAGACTTGCACATAGGGCAAATACCTTCGATTGGTAAGATCATATCATCTTTACAAAATTCTTTTGCTAAACAGATTAAGTGAACAATCAAAAGGCACTTTGGTTTTACACAAGTGACAGAATCTTTCTCTATTATATTCGAGTCGCAAAGAGAACAAAACATTAATGATTTTTTTGGCAATTGTGATTCTTGTGATAGAATATTATCTTCATTTGTTTTTTGTGTTTGTTTAACTTTACAACTAGTGACTTTGCTATAGCATATGGGCATGTGTAACGGTGGAGATATATGTTCGTAATAATTTTTTGAAAATTGATAGTCCAACCATCGTATAGTTAAAGGTAGACGACACCAAGGTCCAATTTTTAACATCTCAGAGAGTACTATCAATCGAAAATCAAGTATTTTCTGCGATGACTTCTTCTTAGGAATGTGTTTTAATCGCCTACTTACATCTGGATGTTGCCAAGCCCATTCGAACTAAAACAATGAAAGTAATGTTTATGATATAAAAAAAAATTTATTTAAAAAATTACACAATGTTTTTCTTAAAAAAATATAAATTTGCTCAAAACTTACTCTAAGTGCAGAAGTGCTGTTGGGAAATCCATGAACAATTAAGATCATGTTCCTGAATATGATATAATTTTATAGGAAATTAGAATATACATATAAAATATCTATTTCATTGGTTTGTTTTACATCATTTATATAATTATATACAGAGTGTTTACAATGCCAAAACTGCTATAATGACTTTCACCATATGAAAACAATTCGAAAATGTCTAATAAACATATGTCTGATTCCGAACGGTTTCAGAGTTACAGAATATTGAAGTAAGAAAATATGAATTGTAGTAAATGTTGTTTAATATTCATTATTCTGTTGTTCTAAATCCTAAATCTTTTTCTGATCTTTCATTTGTCCTCAAAATGTAAACAATATTTGCGTTTCGACAACTTATCTTTTCTTATCCCATAACTTCAAAACCGTTTGGAATCGGATATATATATATACAGGGTGGGCCATCTATTGGTACGTTTTTAAAAATGCGATCAAATGAGCATACATTGATATTTTTTATTAATTTTTTTTTTGTTGTGAAGCTAAAAGTATCCGCGTCAAGAATGAAAAACGATTTCGTTCATGTGGCTCCCTCTACTGGCCTTACAGTATGCCATTCGGTCACCCCAATTATTAATGACATTTTGGACTACCTCGGCGCCAATTTCACTCAAAACAGTCGTAATATAATGTCATCCACTAACATCCCTTTCTCACGAACTTTCCTCACCAATTTGCGTATAGCTCCTTCGGTGGGTGCTCTATCACGACCCATATTTCTTTTCAAAATTCGTACAGTTTCGGCGACACAGCACTGACTTTGAAAATAAGTTTTTAAAATTTCAAAACGCTCTTCAAGAGAAAACATGTTGTTTCGTGCCGCGAAGTCACTGTAGCAGTTTGGCACTGTATGCAGAGACATACCCTATGTATGTATGATATACAGGGCATCCCAGAAATATGTGGCCAAACTTTAGTATCGTATTCTATGTATAAGGATTGAAAAATGTCATAAAATGCAGGTCCGGAAATTCTTCCTTTTTGAGATATAAGCACTTTTTGTTTATCTCAAAAATTTACATGAACAGATATTACATGAAATAAATATTGTACAAATGAGTAAGTGATACTGTCATGAAAGGCAGCTTATCATAATAAATTAGTTATTATCTAAACGTTGCATGATTAAGATAGTGTTACCAAAATGATTTATTCAAATATTAAGGAAACAGATATATTCGTTTTACATATGGATAAGCTAACGGGAATTTCAGAGAAGCACAGCAGCTGTATCGTGAAGCACAAGGTAGTCATTTTCAGCAATTTCTTTGAATAAATTACAAACCTTTAAAATATTCTCTCGTAAACAAAAAATGTTTATATTCTAAAAAGGAAAAATTTCTGGATCTATGTTTACATAACCTTTTTCTGGACCTATGTTTATATAATCTTTTTCATCCTTAAGAACAGTAGAATATGATACCAAAGTTTGACCACCTATTTGTGGGATGCTCTGTGTGTGTGTGTATGTGTATGTGTGTGTATGTGTGTGTAATAGAATTCTTAATTACCATGGTCCTCTGTTACTAGTTTTCCATGCTCCACCGTGCTTCTTACCAGCATTATGTTGCTTAATTCTACGTCTTGGGTCCACAGTATAACCTATATAAGTTCTTCCCTTATATTTTGGATTCATACAATATAATAAATATACTCCAAAAAAATGTTCTATCACTTGAGATTCTTCTTCCATCATTGAGCATTTTAAGTTTTATACATGGAATCACAGTATGTAAGATTATATTAATATATTGATATTGATAAATGTTAAAAGCTCCTTCACCTTAAATTTCGATAAAAAATATACTGAATTGATGCGTTTTCGTGTAAAAATATAGATTTGACAAGAAAAAAAGATAATTAGGTAAATGTTAAGAAGACTCCGGTCCACTCAAATTTTAACAAAAATATATTCAATCGATGCGTTTTTTTATGAAAATTAAGAATCTACAAGAAAAAAGTGTTGCTCTGCCTCGCGACTGAGATATTTTAAGTTAAAGTTGATGACCATGCAGGTCAGGAAATCTGTTACATCACCAGAGCGACACTTTTTTTCTTATAGATTCTTAATTTTCATAAGAAAACGCATCAATTGAGTATATTTTTATCAAAATTTGAGTGGACCGGAGTCTTCTTAACATTTACCAATATCTCAATGCAGTAATACAATATAATCAACTTTGACAATAAAATGATTACACATATATTTTGTTAAATAACGTGACAATATCATTAGTAAATAATTAATCGTTTAAAATATTTATATATTTTTATATTTAACTTTGCTAATGTCATGTAAAACAATTTTTAGTATGCACTGATCTAGTGTAGTGCAAAAGTGACCGAATTAGCACAGCTACCTCACCTCCGATTTTAATGAAATTAAACTCGTCAACGTGTTTTCACTTAAAACGAAAGAATCCAGCAGAAAACCGCGGCGATCAGCCTCGCAAAACAAGATATTAAGCGTTAAAATTGACGACTATTGAGATTAGAAAAGGCCCCTATTCTTGGGCTACGTTCCAAAACTTCCTCTCTGAGGAAAATTTACTTGAAATATTGTATATTGTATTGTATTACAATATATAGTGAAGAAATTTACTAGATATAGACACAACAGAAATACCAATAGCGTCACTGTGTGGCTCAGTGACAGAAAATCTAAAAATCTATCAAGGGATCGATTCTAGCGATCGATTCTATATCTTGAAACGAAGTGAAAATTACAAAAGTGAGCAAATTTACTAGATGTTGATCAATGAAATTATTAGTATTCTAGTAAATTCGCTCACTTTTATATTGATTTTCACCTTGTTTCAAGATACAGAATCGATCCTCAAATCAAAGAACAGGTCTGAGATCGAGACGAGGAACGCCCTGATATTTTTCTCTTTTATTATCAATTGTTTACAATAATAAGAGTCTGAGCACAAGACTTGTTGTAACACTTAGGATGAAATCACACGGTGAAGAAAAGGGCTGCGGAATAGAGAATGCGTCATTGAAACAACTAATTAGCACTATTCGGAATAACGCAGAAGAACGCTGATTGGTTGCTTCTATGATGCATTCTCTATTCCGCAGTCGTTTTTCGCACCATGTGATTTCACCCTTACTTAGGATGGAATCACATAGTTCGGAATAGGATTGCGGAATACAGAATGCGTCATTGAAGCAATCAATCAGTGCTATTCCGCGCTTTTCCATCACGCAAGTTTTGTGTGCTATGTTCACATGATGCATCAAAGATGTATCCAGCATGAATATATTGTAATTTAAAAACTACTAACTTCATGTTAATAATTTGCTTATTAAAATGAAATATAATTTTTTAAATTGTAAAAACAATTATCACTGTTGTAGTATTTATTGTTTTACAATTAATATTTACAATAATTTTTTGAACTGTTTTAACGAATTTATTATTATTTTTTCGCATCATGTGAACAGCATACAAAACTGGCGTGATGAAAAAGTACGGAAAAGTGCACACTGAAATCGCATGTGATGCATCATTGTTTTTTTGATCTTGGTATCTATATTTATGCACTCAAATTTTGTCATTTTGTTTCATTCGTCTCGACATTACTCAATTCCATTATATCAATCAAATTATTTCAACCTCTCAAAATATGACGATTATTACAAGACAATGACGCACTCGCTATTCTGCAACTTTAAATACAGAATAACGCTGAGGTTGTTCATTGACGTACCCTTAGGGTGAAGTCACACGGTGCGAAAACCGACTGCGGAATAGAGAATGCGTCATAGAAGCAATCAATTAGCATTATTCTGCGTTATTTCGAATAGCGCTAATTGGTTGTTTCAATAACGCATTCTCTATTCCGCAGTCCTTTTCCGCACCGTGTGATTTTATCCTTAGGGTAAAATCACACGGTCCGAAATAGGCCCGACTCCGACATACGACTGATTGTAGAATGGGCCTAAGTAAATGTTACGACAATTCTTGTGCTCAGATCCTAACATATATTACAGCATATAGAGTAAAATCAGAGAGAAACCTGAGAGAGAACATGATAGGCCAAAACCTATAACCGCAAAATACTTGTGGCTACGTTGTGACTGCTGTGCCCAATGTGGTGCCGAGCGTGTCTGGGCGCCAGTGATGACTAACGGCAAAGGACAATTAGCGGAAAATCGTCAAGTTTGCAAATAAATGTTACTCATTGATTCTGATTCATATGCCATAAGGCGGTTTAATACAAACTTAAATGATTGTTTAGAACGTACAGATTACGAAAGTAGAGACGTAATTGCGTGCATATGACGGTTCAGATATCGGTATCGCATTGCTAGGTTAGAATATAAGAAGCTAAGAAAATCTAACATAAGCATTTATCTGACGACGCTAGCAATTACCTAATGACATAAGCAATAATCGATGTCAATCTCGCAGTGAACTTAGAATGATTATTAATCTTACCGAGCATTAATATAATCTTTCGCTGAGGCTTACAAAAAAGTCCGCATGCAGTACGCCATGACACCAGAGAGAGAAAGAGAGAAAGGAAAATCGGAAAAAAAGAACTAACTCGAGCAACTAACGCTTGCAACGCCACATGCTGCCGCGCATTATTGCCCTCTGACAAAGTGGATGTAAACTACATAACAACATCCACTTTTGTTTCGATACATCGTCCATTTTTCAAGGCTGGAGATGATAAATTGATTTGATTCATATAATTGTATTACATATAGCATGATTATATGAATAAAATATCGATTAATTATTTCCAGCCTTGAAAAGTGGACGATACATTAGGTGTAGTAAAAAGAAATCCATTATTTTTGCAATAGATGGTTTTAGTAGCCTCGTCTATGCGTGATACAGATTACTATACTATTACACATAATATTTTAAAATCCTGCCCACAATGGAGGAAATATTAGGAATACGGAAAAATATTAAAATTTCATTACCAGAAACTATGTATTCCGATTAATTGGTATCTGATAGGTTGAAATCTTAATATTTATTCCTGTTCCAAATATTTGTTCTATTGTGCGCAGGCCCTAAGAAAAGTGTGCGTTGCTATATATTGGGTCATCTAAAAAGTATCCGCGGTTTTTTGTCACTAGATGGTGTTGATGGTCAACACATCTAGTGACAAAAAACCGCGGATACTTTTTAGATGACCCAATAGTTTACTTCCACTTTGTCAGAGAGCAGTAGTGCGTGGCAGCATTTGGCGATTACAGGTTTTGGGCCGTCATGTCCTCTCTTAGGTTTGTCTCTGGTAAAATCTTTCTCGGGAAGGAAGTTTTGAAACGTAACTTTGAAAAGCATCGCATACGAAAAACTAGGAAAATTCTATAGTATATGTAACGCATATTGGGTGTATTCCGAACCGGATTAGCTTAGTTTATTTTTTTCCTTAGATGTTGGCAGTTCCGTAACTAAACCAACAATATTCCGAACCCATCGACCGTCAAACTCAGCTACTGGCTTCTACCGCGTACCGCGCTTCATATAATCGCATCCTAAGGACCCAGAGCCCTTATCTTTGAATGCTTTCCATCAAGGCTTTTAGGCGACATACATCGACACAGTGTTGGACGCGGTGTTTTCCAACAACAACACGCCACGGCACGATTAGATTCAGAAAAACATAGTCGAACATTCTGATTATGGTTGCCAATTTTTGACGCTTTACAGTATTTTCATTTTACACATAGGATACGAAATAAAAAGTACGTACATAAGAATCATTTTAATGTAGAAAAATATATCTACGCATAAAATTATTATCCAACAAGAGACACAGAAGTGACACGGTGTGACACGGCAAATCATTGCATCCTTGTTGTTCGCTAATGTTAAACAAGGATAAAGTGATCGCTGTGTCGTAGAGGGAAAGCACCCCTCCGAAAAGTATCGCATACCAAAAACTAGGAAAGTGCTATAGTATTGGGTTTAAAAAGTATCCGCGGTTTTTTGTCACTAGATATATGACCATCAACACCATCTAGTGACAAAAAACCGCGGATACTTTTTAGACCCAATATAATTAAAAAAAATATCAAGTCTAAAATATATAATTGTACTTTACTTTTTGTATAGTACTTTTATATAGGTCAAATAACAAACTCAACTTCACTACTGAACACGTCGGACACAATAAACGTGATAAAATGTGATAAAATAGGTTGGGAATACGCGTATGCGCATTGCAAAAGTACACGAATTGTGAAAGTGAGAAGCGATCGTCTGCATCGTAATATTTTCGGCAGCTCTTAATTGTCGTTAGCAATATAGTAGTATTACATATATGTGTATATTGTAGTATTTCCCTAACTTTAGTATACGATTTTTTTCAAGAATAGAGGCCCAGAGGTGTGTTTCCATAACTGTTTACATGTTTTCTAACAGTGTCGGTGTCGTTGCGCAGCTTTTTTAGCATATAAAATATCTGCGCAACGACACCGACAATCGGTAGGCTGTCATCGATTGTCGATAGGCGTGTAAAGATACGTAGGCTGCTGGAAAAGTTTCTGCAAACAATATGAAAAAAACATGTAAAATTCGGTAAATGGCTTTATTGTTTTTCGAAGTATTCGCCTTTAAGATCGATACATTTTTGCATACGCTCGAACTAATTTTCGAAGCATTTTTTCCACTCTGAGGCTGTAACCTCAGAAATCAGTGTACGAAATGTTTCAATAGCTGCTTCAGGCTACTCAAATCATTCATCACACTTCTTTTTAATATTTGAGAACAAAAGAAGTCATTAGGTGATAAATCAGATGAAAACGGACAATGAGTCATCAATTCGACATTTTTTCTGGATAAAAAATCAACGGTTTGACGTGCTGTGTGACAGCTGGCGTTGTCATAATGAAAGATGATGTAACGATTTCGATTTGTTCTACGCAATTCATTTATGACTTCTGACTTTCAAACAAATTGTTGTATACCAATCAGTATTTACAATCCTTCGATCCTCTAAAGCCACAGTTGCCACATGTCCGGCATAACTAAAGAAACAAACAATCATTTACTTGGCAGCACTGCATGAATGAACAGCTTTTGTTGGTTTCGGTTCATTTTGAAATGCCCAAACAATGGATTGTTGTTTATTTTCGGGCTCATACGAATAGATCCATGTTTCGTCCCCAGTAACGATGTTGTAGACCAAATTTGACCGACCTCGGTTGAATTTTTTGAGCATTTCTTTTCTCCATTTAACACTGCTTTTGAACTTTGGTCAAATTGTGTGGGATCCAACGACTGCAAAATTTCCGTACGCTCAAGTGATCATGCAAAATCGTATGTATTGCTTTCATGTCAATGCCTAAGGATGCCTGAATCTCGCGATATGTCATATATCGGTCTCGCTCAATCACATTCATTTCACGCACAGCATCAACATTAGTGGCAACAACAGACGTGGATGGGCGACCTTCACGGAATTCGTCACAAAGAAAAGTACGTCCACGCTGGAATTCGGCCAACCAATTATAAACAGTCCTATTGGATGGTGCTTCATCCCCAAAAGCCAAATGAAGTCGATCGATGCATTATTTCGGAGTTAGTTTTACGAT